TTCAGTTTTTAATACGGAACAAGTTTGGGTTAAGTAACTTTCCAAAAGCAGTAGATTTCAATTACATGTTTGATGCGATGATGCTGGGCATCCTGATTAAAAGTACTGACACTGCTCCCCATCAAAAGAGCGGGGTCTAATGGATGTTGAGTGGGGTAACTGGAAATTGTCAGTGAAGATGTTCAATGAATTGGCATGTGTGTCCTGTTCTGCAAGAACCAGTTCTCAACATTTATGCTATTATGTATTTTTTATTAATGATCTAGGAGATACATGAAGACAATCACAGACAATCATTTATTGCAGAAAAGACATACTATTCTGATAGTGAGGAATATGGAATACTTTACGAACTATATTCATCAAGACTGTCTGGAAAGTCGTCTTTCTAAAAGCGAAGAGTATGGGTCATAGCTAGAAAATTGGAAGGCTGCAACTTTGAAAAAGATTTTGGAACCGTAGCAGACAGGGAATTCCAGAGATGTTGCAGTAGAAAGTTGCGCACTGTAAGTCATGAACATATTGAGGGCAATAAGGGAGGAGGGTGTGTGTGTGTCTGTTTGTTTACTGGAGCACAATGTTAGGATTTGTGTCAAATGAGCTTTCTAAAAAATGTTTGAAGGTTGTTGAGGATTTAGAGGAGACAGTGTAAAAAATACATACGAGCAGGAGATTTATGGAGGTAAGTCTGTTTACCTGATCAAAAAGAAAATTAAGTTATCTGATCAGTGTTTACAGGGAAAAGATTGCGGATATTAATCTTGAGCTGAGAAAGATATAATAGGACCAAGACTTCAAAGTAAGAAGTACAGAACACATTTTTAACAGTTTTTAACAGTTCAGCTGATTAAGCACTATAACAGATAGCTCAGGAGTTGATGAATTCTCCATCTCTTAATGTCTCTGCAATCAAGATTGAATACCTACCTTGGTGTGTATGAGTAAAATGCAATTTATTGGTCTCAGTAGAAATAATAAGGTTGGTGGACGTTACTAACATAGGCTAAATTTAAGCGGATAATAGTGCCTAATTTTTAAAAACCATCTCCCCTCCCAGTTAGGAGTCCAAGTTAGCTTTAAGAAAAAACAATTTACAGGTGTTTATCCTAGTAGGTGTATTTAAGAGCATGTGCATGACATCTGGGTAAACGGTACCACGATTTGCCAAACAAGTACCCTGTTGTTCACCATCTCTATCAGCCACATGGATGATTCACCACTGTGTGATCAGGAATCACAAGATTCCTTTTTTGTCGGTTATTTCTTGATACATTTCAAGGGTAGCTGAAAATTTTATTTTTTCCATGTTTATTTGTAAACTTTGTTGTGAAGCTGGATGCATGTATAGGCAAATTGCTTCTAGAGCCCTTGCTGCTGCCTTATTGACCTGGTTTGTCAAACTTGCTAAATAGATGACATATGCCACAGGAACATGAAACAAAACTCAACCCACAGAAAAGTAGAATTCAATATTCAGTGCCCTAAATGACATTGTAAGGGACAAAAAATATCCCTGTAGAATGCCTGTATAATCCTTTATCGATCTACATATATGTAGTTTTTCTGAAGTCGTCTTCAACATCAGAAGCTCAACAGTGAAGAGGGACGTTTCTTTTAGTAAGACTAAAATTTGGACCTGCAGTTCGCTCTACAGACCACAGAGAGAGAGAGAGAGACTTGCCCCCTACAGGAAATTGGTATTAGATTCTATGAATTCCCTTGAAGGACAGTTTTTCTCCATTGAGAGTAAGCCACTTAAGCTAATTTTAATGTAGTGAGCCCTATCAGAATACCCATGTTTCTCTGTGATGACATTCTATTCTCTGTATTATTCAAGATATCAGACTAGATGGAAGAATATTTGGCCTTTAAATCCATAAATTTTTAGACTTATTTATGCTTTGGTAAAGAGTTGATTGTTATGTAGTCTTGTACAAATGAGCGAATCAGAATTGGTAGTTTACATAACAAAACAGGAATGCACAATAAATAAAGCATTATTGCCTCAGGCCAAGAAGTTTGATTTGTGAAATATGCACTTAAGAAAACATACTGTAGCAGGCATTTGAAGATATTTTGCTTACTTACTGCATAAAAACAGCACGACCTCCATTGTGCAACATACTGCAAATGCAATTGCCACCTTGCAAAAACCAACACAGTGCTATGATCTTTAGCTGAGATATGCTAACTTACTCTAGCCAAACAAACATGTAGAGTTTATCAAGCTTCAGGGGAGTGATGAGTAACTGGGAATGACTGCTGAAGTCATCTGTATAATTCAGGGAAAATTCTGACAAGGAAATCAGCTTGGATGTGAGAGTCTGAGAGAACAGAAACTCAAGTAACAGTTTGACAGATAACACTGAAAATCCTCAGATAGAGAATCCAGGGAAGGTAACTACTTGCTAGCCACCTACTGGGGTCCAGATGGACTTGTTCAAAGAAGATAGGAGTACTTATCCCTACAGTATTGAAAGACACTATAATGTTGTGTTCAGTATGGATTGTGTACTGTCTTTTAGCTCTAGGACTTAAAGATCTTGGGTACAAGTGATTTGAGTGATGAGGGGGAAGCATAGGGCCAGAGAACACAGATGGTCAGGAAATAGTCTTCTGTGCATGAATCACATGTGCTGTCTGTAAGGTCATGTTGGTAATAATTCAGGGATAGACATTTGTGAGGGGATTTTCATTACTGCCATAGCACAGCACTTTCTCCTTCACCATAAGTGGGTGCTGTTATTGTCAGTCTGAAAACTTCTAGATGCTGCATCTTGACCTGCATTCAGAATTAATTTGACTTTTTTCTTACAGACTGTAGCTCTGAGACTGACTTCTCTGTCTACTTCTGTCTTCAGTAAGCCCACATCCCTGGCTAAACTATAGCAGTTCTTCTTTCACCCAGTGACCCCATCCCCAGCTGAGAAGGAGAATTGGGAAAAGGAAAGGAGACCCATGGGTTGAAATGAAAACAAATTTCATGAAACAGCAAAACCAATGTCAATACTAATGACAATATAAAATATATAAAGTTATACTTAGCCCAGTGAATGTGTTTCAGTCACAATAAACTGGAGAGCAGTTCTCAGGGGCAGAACAATGAGCAAACCCCTCCAAGGATGAAAACTGTCAAATTTGGCTAGCTGACCAGCCCAGCCATGGTCTTCATAAATATTTGAGATTGAGCTTCTTTCACAATTGCCTTTCAGTGAAAGAAACCAAAATTAACAACCTGCATGAAACATAATATGTGACTTGATAACACATATTATCAGACAAGTGGTAACTTCAGGATTGAAGTGTGAGCACTCGCAGCCTGTGTGATGGAGAGGGTGGCTGGAGCATTTAGGTGTAGCTGGGCATGACAGTGTGCTTCACCAGTTGCAGTTCTCTAAAGCCACCTCTGGTTGTAACGTTCTCTTCTGCACAATGGAAATGGAAGGAAAACATTCTTTGGAGGGAAGTTCTGGTGTGGTGAACAGCTTCACCAGGATGTTTAAGCAGAATGGAATAGTGGTCTGGCCTGGAAAGAAAAAAGGGTAAATATCCTGTCTCTCCTGCTGTTCCCTACAGAATTAAGGCATTCTGATTTCCATTTCCTCTTATGATTCTTTAGCTTGTAGTTGACTTCACATTGCTTCCTATGAAAACTTTTTCTATTGCTTTTTCTATTGCTTTCTTGAAAACTTTTGTGCTTTTCTCTTTGACCTTTTGCCAGCCTCTCTGGGTTTCAAAAGCATAAGCAGTAACCTGGACATTGAGCGTCTGCCGCACTGCGTGTCTGGAATCATAACAGAGTCATAAGAAGAAAGTGAACTAGGTTGCGTTTACCAGCCATGGTACAACAGGAGCACAGTGGTGTAAAATTTCAGCTAAGAGCACCCACCTCTGATAAATATTTAATGATAATTATTGACAAGTGCTGACCCATCCTGTACATCACAAAACAGCAACCTTTCTGTTAGATAAAGAGCAGTAAGCTTTCATTATGGAAAAAAAATCCACTGGTTTTCCAGGCATTTTTTCTGAGTTAGCAAAATACTTCCACCAAGGACCAGTGGATTACATTAAAAATGAAAATACATAAGCCTCTTGGATGTGTGCTTGCTAAAATGCCTAAACATACTACATTAATCTTGCATTTAAGAAATAAAGCCACATTAACACTTTGATGAAAAGTCAATTGGATGTATTCTTCTCAGTTACAATGTGTCAAATCTGAGATCCTTTCTGGAGGAAAACAGTACGTTTTTTATTTTATTCTTGCCTCCTGTAGTCAGGCTAGGCACAGGTGTGCTTTACCTTGAATATTTACTTCATGGCTCAATTTACTGTTTATGTGATATGCCTTAGTATGCAAAATAAAGAGCAGTCCATATGTATGTGAATCAAAATTATTTTTACATCTCACCAAATTTAAAAAAAAAAAAAGAAGGAAAAAGGTTAGTTCGATATTACTTAGTAACAAAGCCAGATTCTGTCTATATTTTGATTGACTGAAATAGTTTTTTTACAAATGGTGTGCAGGATCAGTTTCATAGGGCCTCATGTAAGTTAGTGCTATGCTTACAGGTACACAAATATTATGAGGATTGAGAAGTCTTCCTTATCCGTGACAGAGCTAGATAGCCAAGGTAGCTGTAAGTGTCAGAGTCTATAGCCCTGTTACTGCCATGCTCTACTCAAGGTCATTAGACCTGAGCAGGAATAATTATCCCAGGCAAAGCATTGCATTGATGGTTACACTTCTTCTGGTACCTTCATGAATAGAACTGCAAACTCTGCAAAAATACACGTTGTGAACCGAAGGGAATGCATCACTGTGAGTGACACCCGCAGACCACACATGTTTTGAGGTGGTCACCTTTTCTGGCATAGCTGTTTCTCTTTCTGACACTGTCATGGGCTTTTACAGCTGCCTTCCCCCTTCTCACTGGTTCAAGGTGCTAGTTTTTGTTCTTAGCTGGAATTAGCCTCTCCACTCTGCCTACGAGAAAATGGGGAAATTCCTGTTCAGTTTTGAGGTGGAGTATGATCAAAGGAGGAAGGCGGTGTTTGGGGTTTTTTTTCAAAGTTCTAGCTATTCCCTTGTTGATCCGGTTTTCCAGAGACATAGGAACTTGATGAAAAGCTGTCACAGGTAAAATGGGTGGAACTAAAATTTACTGATGTAAGAGAGCTTCACAAGGAGAAGAGCATGAGTATAATACCAGCAAAAGATAAAGAAAAATATGTAGGGTTTTTAAAAAAAATATCTGATTTCCTTTTAGGTTAATATTTTCAAAAAAACTTTAGATTATCAAATGCCATGTTAAAGTAAAGGGAGACTCAGTATCAAAATACTCTGCAAAAGTCTGACATTTTCAATATGTTCTGTGTCCTGATTTTATCTTTGCATTTTCAGTTTAACAACTGCTAAAAATATGACTGAACATTTAAAATACATTTTTAAAAATGATTTAGCATACTCTTGTCTGAATTGGACTGCATGTCCCTGAAGTTCTCTGAACAGTCCTTCCAGCTCTTGCTTTATTTGCTAATTTTTATTTCCTGCATCCTACTCAGATATTGAATAGATTACTGTACGTAACTTTTTCAGACATTAAGTTTAGCTTAAGCTTTCTGTAATATACACAAAACCTTGAAGAAGTTAGGTATTACTTGGAAATGTGTGTATATCTCTGTCAAGTTCTTCAAGGAACTGATTCATTTTGGAGGCCATACCAGGGAAATGCCTGAGTGCAAGCCCCATTAAAATGTTCCAAGGTACTGATAATAGCATATGCCTTGCACAGGATTGCTTCCATGCTAATTTCATTGTCCTTAAAGAAATTGTAGATATTTTGTTTTAAATTTTAGGAGCGTCTTCTACTCTCTTTACTGCCTGCTCACATTGCCATGGAAATGAAAGCAGAGATCATTCAGAGGTTACAAGGTCCCAAGGCAGGCCAGCTGGAAAACACCAACAACTTCCACAATTTGTATGTCAAACGGCACACCAATGTAAGGTATTGTACAGTAATAAAATGTATCAACAACATTCAGAAAAAATTTGAAAAGGAAGTGTTACGGCAGCATTTTAGAAAATAATCGTTTTAATGTGTTTTTCAAAAAGCTTATGTTTAGTATCTGTTAATTTGATCAAATGCTAACAATTCCATGTTCCAGAAGAGCAACAAAGGTAATAATACAAAGGAGTTGTTTAGAAAAAGCCATGCATTAACAGGCTTTCTTCATAATGTCTTAATTTTTCAGGTTAAAGTACCAAATCAAAATTGTAATTTGTGTCAGTTGTATTATTCTGAATTTGCAATTTTCTTAACTGGAGCAATTTCTCAGGTTTTATATAATGTAAATAGAAGCAGCTGTGTCACATGTATATTTTACATAGTATCTGAGATAAAATATTCTGCTAACAAATCTAATTATTTATTAATTATAAAGTTCTATAAGTTAGAAAATAATTCACCATTTATTTCAGGTATTCTTTCATCTTTACAGGTTGTTTTGCCTTTTTTTTTGAGTGGACAAGTTACTTTGAATGACATTCTTAGAAATTACTCTTTTTAAGCAAGTATTGCAGGACTTTTGAGGAAGTTCATGTTCACTTGCAAGCACAAATACTTTTTCCTTAGCCTGATTCTATGAATTGGTGAATAGAAGCATAGTGTATGGATTGAATATCTTAGCATTCAAGCTTGGACTTATTGGTCTGAATTACAAGTAAACAAAGACTTCCTTACCGCATATCACTGACAGGTATATCTAGACAGAAAATGTCTACAATGATAAAAAGTTATTAAACAATTTCTGATAATAAACATGTTTATTGAAATAATTGCCATTATTATACTGCAAATTTGCGAGTAGGAAAAAGGTTTCTATTTTTTGAATACACTGTAACAAATATAGGTATAGAGTGCCTATGAATACCTATAAATATAGGTATAGCTGTAAAGGTAATACCTATAAAGGTAAATATAGGTATATATTACCTATAAATGTAGTGCCTATAAAGTTAAATGTAGTTTTACCTCTAAATATATTTATTGCTCTACATTTAGCAGCGGCTTTTCTGTGAAGTCCAGGATGCCTGCTGCCAGGTTTTGCTGTTGATTAATAAATCTGAGTTCTGCAGAAGGGAACTGTGACCAAGTTTCTGTTCATTTCTGTTGTAGTATCTTGTATGCTGATATTGTGGGATTCACTCGCCTGGCCAGTGACTGCTCGCCAGGGGAATTGGTGCACATGCTAAATGAGCTGTTCGGAAAGTTTGATCAGATTGCAAAGGTGGGTTTCTACTGGGCTGCTACTCTTAGTTTAAATAAGAAAGTAATCCTTAAAATATGTGTTCTTCACAGGGATGCTTCTGCCTTCAGGTTTCCGAGGTTTTGGCAGGAAGATTAGACTTGAAACATATGAAGAAAAAATCTGGCTCTGGTCTGAGTGCAATAGTGTGTTTCTGCCAGTGTGACAATCTTTGAAACCCAAGATAGCTCTCTCTAAAAGGACCAATAGAGACAACTCATGGAGCCTGATAAAGCTTAATGGCAGATGATAGCTCTTTAAATAGATTTATTTTTACAATAGCAAGAGTTAAGATACTCAAGATAGAAAACTGATACAGTCAGTTTTCTCATCTCTGAAAAAGCATTTAAGAGACTGGAGAGACAATATTGATCGAAGCAGTTTTAATTACTGACCACAGCCTCTTGATTACTCAAGAAAAGATTCAAATACAATCAGAAGATTTTCTTCCATTTATTTAGCTGTCATTTCTATAAAAATTACATCAAACTTCATGCTGTGTATGAAGGTGAAATCAGAAACACTAAAATAGATATAACTCTTCTGTGTCTTTTATTAGTTTAAAAACTATTGTCCAGTATTGGTTAAAAAAAAAAAGAAAATCTTTACATTGCCTTAGAGTACAAAAGATAGAAGTAAGGTTATGATTGCTAGTTTCCCGAAGTATTGCTTAGTGCATCTTCAAAGATGTAAATGTGGAAGGGTAGGTCTTTTGATTTCATATTTCAAACAAAAAGGCTTTATTTAGATTGTGTACGTGATACTTTGGCTCAGTTCTTTAATCTAAGGTGTGAACAACACTGCAGATAATATGCTTTGCAGTGAACTTCCTGATTTTGACCGTTAAGGAGCATAACAGATGGAGGAATCATCCGTACAAAACTCTCTGACAGCAGTTCTTTTTTAGCAAGTCAAATCCTTCTCTACTGAAACAAGCTTAAGTAGAATGATTGCTAATATCATTTAAGTCAGTCTTTGTTACAGTAACCCTTCATTTTTGTAATTCAAGTTGAAAGTTACCATCTCGCCTTGCTGTTTCCTGCAGGAAAATGAATGTATGAGAATTAAAATCTTGGGTGACTGCTATTACTGTGTTTCTGGACTACCTATATCTCTTCAAAATCATGCCAAGAATTGTGTGAAAATGGGACTGGACATGTGTGAAGCCATTAAGTAAGTGCTAAACTTTTTGTTAAATATTCAGCAGTAAAAATTCTGTCTCTTCTATCTGTAGCTGTGCTGCTGATTGAAACACGCTGACCTGCAGTAGTAACGTCCAGCATGGTATTCTTGATCTCAGCCTCAGCAAATAAATGTTTTAAGAAGTTGAGTTGTGCCAGGCTGCCTTGTCACTACACTATAAAGATGATTAAGGGTCTGGAGCATTGCTGATATGAGGAAAGGCTGAGACATCTCGGACTGTTCAACCTGGAGAAGAGAAAGCTGAGGGGGAAAAATCTTATCAATGCCTTCAAGTACCTGAAGGGAGAGTGCAAAAACTATGGAGCCAGGCTCTTGAGTGGTGCCCAGTGACAGGACCAGAGGCAGTGGGCACAAGCTAAAACACAAGAGGTTCCCACTGAACATCAGGAAACACTTTATTCTCTGTGGAGGTGACTGAGCACTGGCACAGGTTGCCCAGGGAGGTTGTGGAGTTTCCAGCCTTGGAGATACTCAAAACTGAACTGGTAGAGCCCTAAGCAACCTGCTCTAGCTGGCCCTGTTTTGAGCAGGAGTTGGACTAGACAATCTCCAGGTGTCCCTTATGACCTCAACTATTTTGTGATTATGAGATGGTAAATATCCCAGTAGATATCACTTAGTACTTGGAAGTTTTGCTTTTGACAGGGTTGTAACGCTGCCACCCACCTGTTAGTCAAACCTCTCTGTGAGAGGCCAGAGCTCCTGGCTCCTGCTGAGTTTGGAGATCGGTGGCAGTCAGGAGCAGTTGCCTCTCCACAATTAAGATGCCTCAAGCCCTGAGCCTGAGGACTGCTATCAAGCATGTCTACCAAAGACATTTCTAACAGCTTACAGATTCCTGGGCTGAGAAGCCTACTCCTGTGCTGTTAAATAAGCAGTTAAATATGCCTGTCTTACTAGACCCCAGGTTTAGGTTTGGTTTCAACTTTTCTGTAATTAATTTTTTAGGTAAGTACCTTCTAAAAACACATTAAGGCACTATTGAGAATTCTGTGCTTATCAGCCATGTTTTGGATTTGTGGTTACTGTATTTGTCCCTTATTTCTTTCTCATAATCATTGTGTATGTTCTGTCTTTGACACAGAAAACAGAACAAGGTATTTGAGAATCTCAGTATGATTACTTTTGAAATAGCAGTTGTAATTTGTTTCAGGTAACTCAGGTAATAACAGGAGACTTGATATGGTTGTGAGAGGAAAAAGAAATATGGTGGTATCTGATGGGTTAACACTTGTAAGGCATCTGAGGTTACAGTTACAGGCATACTTGAGGAATCCTCTAGCTTATTACTAAAGAGTAGATGGGGAACCGGTTATAGGCAACTGCAGCAGTCCTGAAGATGATGGGGAAGTCTTGCAAAAGGGCAGCTTTACTCCCCCTCTCTCTTTACCTGACTGCTATCTGAACACTCAGTGCAAAATAGAAATAACTCCTTTGTAAGCTACCTGCCCTGGATGAGTTCTGCCACCAAAGCTAGACACATTTCAGTGTGATGGTACTTAAACTTTGGATGTCTGCACATCCTGTTGAAGGGTCTTAAACCTGCCTATGGAGAAACTTCAGCTCAGTATTGTAGTTTATTTGTTAAGCAAGGGCTGATTCTGTTAGCTTACTTAGAAAATATTTTGTGAGGAAAAGACAATTAAGAAACCTTCCACCTGCTTTTTTTTGGGGGGGGTTATTTGTTTGTTTGTTTTTGTTGTTGTTTTTTTTTAAACCAAAGTCAGGTAATTCATTGTCTGTAGTGCATACCTAAAGTTCTTCTTAGCTTTTAGGAGTTAAAATCATGTAATGGTTACTTATAGCAGTTACCGTTAATGGCACGAATATATTTTCTGTAGAAAAGCTGTTTCCTTTGACTCTGATTACAGTATATTTAGGTGATCTACACTTTGCAAAAATATATATCATGTGGAGGTCCAGATATCTGGTAGTCACCTGTGTGATTGATTTATTTATTTAAACAATTGGACTTTGTTTTTAAAATGTGGTATGCTCTTCTTTAAGTTTCAGTTCCAACGCTGATGTTTTTGCCCAAATCACATTTAACACTGTCCGGGTAGCAAAGTAAAAAATTAACTTCATCCTTGTGAGGTATATGTGTGGTGTGCACCTCATCATGAAATAGATAGTTATGCTGAACAGTGTGGTCTCAATGGTGAAATAAACAGGCATAAAAAAAGTGATTCCTCTAATTCTTAAATACTACCCTCATGAGTGTGCAGTTGTAGTCACAAGAGGGTTTCGGCTTTCGGTTGCCTGATCTTGTGATTCGATCCAGGGTAGTTACTGTATGGGTAGGTTGGTTAATGCAAATTTTGTTCTTTTCCTTTCAGGCTATTCATTGAAAAGGTATATATTTGTGGAAACCAGGATTTCGGTCTCCTTGCTTTAGGGATCTTTTGTAAACTAATGTCAGTACAGGAATCAGGTTGCTGTGTTTTCTAAAATGTTTTTTCTTCATCCAGATGTGGCTGTACTTTACATTGTTTCCAAAGGAATCTGTTTTTTTAAATGGTACTTGGAGTACTTCTCCTTAACAAGGACTGAAATCTACAGATTTGGTTGTTTCCTCAATTGCTTTCACAGAATGCTTTCTCTTTTTCATTTAGATATACTAGAACATTATTATAATTAAACCAATTGCTTCTCTAGTGTATTAGGAACTAAAGCTAACATCCCTTCAGTAGAGCAGTAAGTAAAAGAGTGTCTCTCCCTCCCTTGTTTGACTTTAAAATGTTGGGGTTTTTTCCCCAGCCTTTGAGTGAAAATGAGAGCTCACTGGTTTAGATTTCAGAAGATCTGTGTGCTGTGTGATAAATGTGAGTTAAAAGCGTTTGCACAGAGTTTCTGGTCAACCTGTTGCTTTTTTACTGAAGAGAAAAAAGAATAGCAGGTTACAGGCTGGTGGAAAAACAATGCTAAGCTCAAGCCATAAATTGCCCTTCACAAAGAACTGAAAGTATAATTTCACACATCAGAATTCAATGCTTTACTTGAGTTCAGAGAGTGATCTGTCAGTTCCTCAAGCTTTAGAACTTCCCAGTTTTCTTTGAAATAACTTTCTGCTCAAGCTGCTATCAAGTATGTTCATTGTTAATTCTGAATGATGAGGTCCTCCTTCATAAGAGCAGCCTTATAGACTAGAAAATTATCTTCAGTTGCGTAGCACAGTCTGATCTGCCTTTATTACTGTAGTCAGAATCCACAACAATCCTGTAGACAGATGCCTGATTTATCACCGCCTGTTTACATCTCTGTAAGAAGTGAGGAATCTGTACCCTGTGTTTTCAAATGCTTTCAAAGTATTATGTCAGGTGTGTGATTGCTGCATCCTTGTGTTGAAGCATCTCCTGAAATACTCGTGTGGCCTGTAAAACTAGGAGTAGTAATACTCTTGCTGTTGGAAGTGTGTCCTCCATATATGTTTGACTCACTTTGTCTAAATTATTTTTTTCTCAGATAACGAGTTTTTGTTGTGTTCGGTCACTGAGCTGGAAACTGACCCCTTGATTCGTGAGATACTGAAATAGAGCGGTTTACTGTTTAGATGAACAGTTCTATATAGATTTTACCACCTGAATATGATTTCAGTTCTGATTCTCTTTGAAGCAAAAAGGAGGAATTATAACAAATTGTCAGGTTTTCTGTAGTACAAAGCCTTATTCAGTCTTGTTTCCTAATGATCTGTGGCTCCATTTTGAGCAATTCAGCCTCACTATGCTGTGGATCATTTCCATTTAAACATGTTAGTAGTCTCATTGATTAATTGCTTTGTTTCTCTGCTCTATGTTGGAACAAATCCAGTATGTCTCATAGTCTCCAACCTTCTTGCCCAGGAGTGGGATGTTCGCCTTATTAAGCCATAGATGCCAATGCTGCCTGTGATGTTGAAAGCTCGCCACCGTAACTGGGTGCCTTGAGGCTAGAGCTTATCTATTATTAAGGAAAAATATGTTGGTGTATGAATATAGGTGCTGTTTTCCTTCAGCCCAAACTCCACGCCCTTGTCTGTCTGGTGACTTCCTAATTTACATGTTTCTCAGCCACAGATTCTCAAAGGCTGTCTTTGATTTCATAGCATGAAATGAGTTCCATTTCATAGGAAAGTGAAACTGTTGGATGAGGTAGTTTTACCAATTTGAAAGCTAGATACAAAATAAAATAATTTTTTTTAGGTATGATTTCATTCCTGCAGGTATGATCCAAAAAGGAACTGTGCTTCTAAAGCTGGCAATTTGCAGGGAACTAAGTGCTCAAGGCTCACTGAATGTGTTAAAGTGCGTAAGACAGGACTAGGTGAGTCTTTGATACATTAGTCCAGGATTACCGATCTCAGATAAACAGAGTAGACACTCTCCTAATGACCTGAACTCTTGCTTGTGTGGAGTAAAGTTGCTACAACTACCTGCAAGCTAACCGTGCCTTTGGAAAACAGAATCCTTACAAACTCAAATTTCAGGCTGCAACAGGAATAATACAGTCTTGATGAGTATTTTGACTGCCCAGCCAGGATGGGCACACCAACTGTGGTGTGCAGAGGGAAACCGTAGAGACTGTGGGGGCAGAAAATGAAATAATCATGGGAAGTTTCAGATATACTTGTGTAGGTAAGGCAAATTTCCTATGGGGATGTGATAGGTTACATTTTTAGACACACTTAGTGCCTGCATCATCATAGCAATTGTTCAGGGAGCACAGGAGAGAAGTAGTAAACCCTAGTTTGGTCCAGAGTAACACTTCTAATTTAAAATCTTCTGTGGTTTCTTTAATTTGTGAGACAGAAGAGGCGATTCAGTTCTGGAACATACTCTACTTGCTCCCCTCCTTAGCTCTTGAGAGCTTATTATAAAGCAGGCTTTATGGCTTGCTCTCTAGAATATGTCAGGGCAGCCTTTCGACAAGCACTCCTAGAGGATAAATGTTCTTCTTCCACTTTGCCCAGTTTTGTAAAACACTTTTTTTTTTTCCCCCAGAGTGTTAAGCTTGTGTCATATTCCTTGTGCAGAGCAAAGTGGTGTTTGTCATTTACTGACTGCTTACAAAGATCATTTACAAGCAGTTCCTTTTCAAGTGTGTCAGCTACAGGAGAGCAGTGTAAAATGGCAAAGTGAAAAGAGATATCAATAAATACTTGATAGAGACTGATGGAATTAAAAACTCCATTCTTCTTTTTAATAACTTCAAAACACAGTTTAACAAAATGCTTTCAGTCATGCTTCTGTTATTTTCATTTCTCAGAAAAAGAACACTTGAGAACTACTGCTTACACATAGGATTTACCATATCAGATTAAGCCTGTTAAGTTCTATGTTCCCTTTTGAAAAAAGGGAAACGGGCCAGTTTAATTCGGTACTTCAGAAGGTAGAGAGCTGATGATTCTCATCATTGAGACTGAAGTTGTTGCTAGAACTATGAACCTGACTCATATACAGGAGCCATATGGGTTTCTTACTCTACAGTCGTTCCTTCCATCAACACCCTGAATTCCCCCAAGATAAATGTATGTACATATTGCTTATTGCTGCTTGGGTTTTGGTCCACATGAGTTGGGGCTTAAACACATAAATCCAGTTAAGTTAGGCTCTTCCTGTTTCTTAGAACTGTATAAGCCTGTAGACGTCTGAATTAATTTTGTTACTCTATGTATTTCGTTAGTTAGCCATATGACATATGTCTGAAAATGTTCTGGTTGTTTGACTTCAGTCACCCACCTGTGATTCAGAAGAGCCTCTTCTGGAAAGATGTTATGTGTAGGGCTCCTCTGAGATTTGGGTTGGGGTGAACAGATACTTCAGCTCTGTCCAAAGTCACTGGAAAGGTCAAAGGTTTAGATGTGGTCTGGGCGGTGACGGTGGCTTCTCATTCTTTGTGTAACAGTCTAGTGGGTACAGCATTCACCTATATTCTCCACAGCCTGAATGGCACTGAGCCCGTAGAATATCCTGAGGTGCTGTGGTTTTCATCCTTCCTCTCACAGCAGAACCGTTTGCAAACAGGCATGCAAGAGCGATGGGACCTGAGAGAAGCCAGATATGAGAAGGTCTCCAACATAGATATTAGGGCCTTCAGATAGAAGAGCGCATAACAGTAGTTCCCAGTCTCCAAAATATGTTTGTTGGACTGTTGCTGCATTAAAAGCCATACCAAAGGCTGCCTGTAGAACAAAAATAACCCCTAGATTCTACCTTGAGACTGAACATTTCCACTACATAGTTCAGCCCTCTCAAATAATTTCAAATGAGAAAGAATCAAAGAAGCGACTTCAGACATGACTTTGAGAATTAATATTTACTGCAAATAGTTGCAGGTATATATAATAGTAAAGGTAATATATAAAAATAATCCTAGCATAAAAAGCATGGAGGCAGTGCTAAAAAGAAATAAATGTTATCACCATTGTTACGGCTAATGTGACTGGTAAAAGGAAACAAAGGCCCTATTATGTATATTAACACAGATTTTCTTCTCAACTACAGGAAAGTGAGGGACGCAACTGGAGTTGATATTAATATGCGCGTAGGAGTGCACTCTGGGAATGTGCTTTGTGGTGTTATTGGGCTACAAAAGTGGCAGTATGACGTGTGGTCACACGATGTTACTCTGGCAAATCACATGGAAGCTGGAGGAGTCCCAGGGTAAGAGGCTTCTCTGTTAACCTTTGAACACATGGATTTGTGTACCATGGAGGAATGCGTGGGTACCATGTCTTCAGCCATCAGCCTTTGTGGAGAAACCTGAACTAATTCTTAGTGCTGTCTTAAAAAATACCCAAATACAAGCACTCAGTATTTCCTGTGATTTAAAGAGTATTTTTTTGTGGATGGAAACCTTTAAATTTATGCCCATTACAACTTCTAAAAATGAGATTAAAGGGACTGTAAATGAAGTAAGCAGCATATAAAAAGTATATCCAAAAGCTAGTAAAAAAAGTTGATCAGGTTCAAATTGTGCTTTTGATTGGTATTTGTGATTCTGTCATTCTTTTAAAATATAATTTCAGCCGAGTTCACATCACCTCAGTCACCCTGGCACATTTGAATGGAGCTTACAAAGTGGAAGATGGGGATGGAGATGTGAGGGACCCATATCTGAAAGAGCATAATGTTAAGACTTACTTTGTAATCAATCCTAAGGTTAGTAGTATTTTTATTTTGTGGCCAGTCATAGTTATTTTTGAGCAGGACCACTAATCTCATTATTGAATAATTCACTACCATACTGATCAGAGCTACTGCTGATGCCTACAAATACAACATGGTTGCATTGCAAATCTTTCCTGCTCTTCAGAAATAAGTCTCTGATATTTCCCAGCAATATCATTAAGAATCGCAGGTTCTTAGCATCTCTCCATTTTTAAGTTCCTAAGCATGCAGATATGTGGTACCAGATGATGCGCTACAGCTTCAAAAGGTAATGAACAGCAAGGCTGATGTCACCTTTCATTCTCTGTCAACCAGGGAGAGAAGCGAAGCCCTCAGCACCACATTAGACCTCGACATACTCTTGATGGAGCCAAAATGAGAGCTTCTGTCCGCATGACCCGGTACCTGGAATCCTGGGGAGCAGCCAAGCCATTTGCACACTTGCACCACAGGGACAGCATGACCACTGAAAACGGCAAGATTAGCACAACAGTAGGGGCCTACTTATGTCATTTCATACAATTTAGCAGTATTTGAAAGGAAGAAGGTGCTCACTGCTAAATACCTGGTTATTTCTGGTAGAAGAAGATACGTGTGTTTGTACAGGGCATACACCTAGTGAAGTTGCTGGGAGCTTTTTCATTGGCATGTGAGCTTTGGATTAGACTCTTAGGAGCCATGTCTTGCTATAAGTGCATCTCTGAATTATAAAGAGTCCAATATACTTACTAAAATACACAGTATGACCCTCTGAGCTTGAGCCCCAGTCACAGCATGTAGAGTGGCTGCTGTTCACCTTGTGGAAAGACATTTTGAACACAAAGCCAGAGTGCTACACCTTTGGGAAGGAGCACTGGATGCAGAGACATTCCCTGAGATTTATTGGATATTTAGACATTCTCCATTTGGAACATGGCCAAACCTGGAGCAAAGGCTGTGAAGTTAGAATATCCCTGTGGTACCTGGAGTGGACTTTATTAGAAGAGTTCTCTGAGAACCAAATCTATACTCACTGTAACATCTGCCTTTTGAAGGTGCACTAACCACTCATCAGCTGTGGCTGATGGCCTGAGTTTCACAGTGCTGTAGTGCAATGTTACATCTCTTACACTGAACAGAAAAGATTTCTTTTTAACTTTGCTAACACTGTTTTGCTGCTGTCAGTCCACAGTTTGTACATTGCATTATCTTCTATTTCTAGGATGCAGAAGTAAATTCCAGTAGGTTTCAACATTGGCGTTCAGTTTTGTTCCTGTTACATATGAGAACATAGGATTGAGCCATCTAACCCATCTTGTTCAATAAATAAAGTGCATGAGAATGTGGATTATGATGCATTCATTACAGAAAGTACCCAGCCATCACTATTAATCACAAAATAAATGTGGCTGTGGTGGCTGCTGTTGCTTATCAATAAAAAATAATGACTGTTGCCTGTATTTGGCCACTCAGGCCTGGGTTTTTTTGCTGACGTTGGCAGGAGTTCAGGCTACATTAAAACAGTGGTGACTTTGAGCAGTGACTTTCTAGTAAAGCCAATCATTCTTGGATTCAGACTGTTGTATTCGTTATTTAGTGTTTATAATGATAGCTCAGTTTGTCTCCAGGTCACTCCATCTTCACTCTTGGCTGGATTTTTCTTTTAGACAGTTTTAATCTAATGCTAAAACTATTTGTATTGGAAACTCTTCTCCTTACTTGACCCTGTTTTCAACACTATTTTTAAAGCAACTTAATGTCATCATGCTATTATAGTTCATAGGTATTTTCTTTTGTTTTTTAGGATGTTCCCATGGGGCAATATCATTTTCAGCGTTGCAGAGAGAGGTAAATTAATTTTTAAAAATAACTTGCTAATATAAAGTACATATATTTTTATATATGTATTCATATGCATTCATATATATATATATAAGACATGCTTCCAAATATTGAGGGGCATTTCTCACCCAAACTATTTAAGTTTTCAAGAGGGAGAGATGTAATCTGGCAATATTTGAAATACCCCATTTTTAAGGAGAGCACTGCTGAAAGGACTGATGATGTTTGCAGTAACATGTTAGCAAGGACAAACCCATTCTGATGATCCTCTATTGGGTTCGTCCTAAGTCCATTGAAAAGAAAAGATTCTTTTTTTCATTGCAGTTGTGTTGTAAGTTATAAATGGGGAAACATCACACATGTTTGAAACTAATTTCAGACTTGGTGCTCAATTTTCTTATCAAAAGTAAAAAATATTCCAAGAAAAGAAGAGTTAACAGGCTTTCGGTAGAGAATATGATTATGCCTCAGTGCACTGTCACATTATTGCTCATGATCACACAATTCTGTCAGGGATTTTTAAAAGTATCTACAAGAAACAGGAATGTTGCATGAATTTGAGCATATTCCCATTCTTTTTCATGAATTCATAACACTGTGGAAGACTTTGCTTCAAGTAGAATTTCTTGAACTCTCTTGGTTTGTTTTTTTTTTTACTAAATGTTTTTCTGTGTTTGTTTTTCAAGTGCTTCGTAACAGCTAAACTCTAGAATTTTGTGTGTGGTTTTGTTAAAAGCTCATGAGGCTCAATATGCCTGAAGCCTATAGTTGCTATTGTAGCATAATTGTTAAAAAATTGTTATTATTCTCACAAGTTTATGCCACTATCACCCCATTGTTTAAAGTTAATGTTTATTAACAGTGTAATGGTTTTCCAAAGTAACATCCCACATTTTTAACTTTAGAACAAAATCACAGAAGAGAAGGTTTGAGGAGGAACTGAATGAGAGGATGATCCAGGCCATTGATGGAATCAATGCTCAAAAGTATGTTTTTATCCTTTGCTGTCTCCTTCCTTCAACTTTGACATAAATCTTCAACAGAGGGTAGTGTTTACTGTTTCTCACTCCTACATGCACACAGAAGTCTGGAAACAGTAAAGGTGTCACTAATAGGAAGCTCTGCACATTGTGAAGATAGACTGTACAGTAACATTTTCTGCTATATGGGATAAGACAGTGCCTGTGAGTCATGGTGTGACAGAGGTTTTGGCTTGTCTTGGTCTTCATGGCAAAAGGATTTTTGCTCTGTAACTGTTCGTATCTGTGTGCTCATAGCCGTAACTACAGAATTGTTTTATCTGAGAGCAGAGAAGTGAGACACAAGAAATAACTGGCTCGGGAATCAGAATGATCTGAAAATTGGTGCTTCACAATTGTCACAGAAACATCTCCTCAGACTTAGAAACTTTCCCTAAGATCATAGTTTAGTATCTCTGTGTCTCAGATGGTTGGTTGATTTCTTAGAGAAGGCTAAGCTTGATGGCGTATTGAAATTGTTGGGGGGGGCAGCGTAGGGGGCATGCAAGTTGACATGTATTTTTCCCGTGTCCTAGGAAGAGCTGGAGGTGGTATTGATGCTCTCTGTTTGCTGGTGAATAGATAAGACTGAGAGAAAAATCAATACCAGTCCAAAATAAGTGTTCAGGTTTCGTCTATTTAAGTATGAATTAAGGGAATTGCACTTCAAAAATGTGGGCAATAATTGTGGTGAATTACATGTTTTCCCCCTACTTCTGTTATTCAGAATCTTAATCAGCTGAATGTTATGCCTAATTATTAAATGCTCATATGTCACATTTGGGTTTTTGCATCTGATAGTCCTATTAAAAGGTACTTGGCTCTAGGAAAATATTTTTCAGTAATTATTTATAGAAAGGAGTGTTGATAGTTATAGGTCGTACAAAGAATACAGTGAAAGAGGGTAGGTCATGTGATAGACAAAGCCTTCTGATTATACTAGACTTGCCTAAAACAGCTATATAAATTTTGGCAGTTTTTATGTGCCTTCACGTACACTTGCTCTGACAAGTGGATTGTAAAAATGATGGTTTGATGTCAAAAGTAAAGTATCTGTATAAATGCATTAAAATAAAGTATTGGTATGACCATACTGTATGTTGTTTTACCTCAGAGAATCCCTGTCTTGTCTAATTAGTGCATAAAATTCAGAGAAACTTGGGGATAAAAGACATTTGTGTGATTAAAAAAGGTTTCTGAAAAAGTTTCAGTGCATTTTGTGAATTACATGGGGAACTGCATAAAGAAAAGGAATGGTCTTGCATATCAGAGAGGCTGAATGCCACCTTCCAAAACTAGATTCTCTACCTATCCCTGTGTTCATTTGCTGAATGGATCACTTAAATGCTGTTATTCAATTGGGTACCTGAGATAAGTTGTCAAGAGTGCTGATTCCCCAAACAGAAAGTTAATTCAATAATATTTTAACTATGTCAATGCTAAGCACTCAGAAAAAAATAGGTAAAAGGTTTGCTACATTTAGGACACAAAACTATCATTTTTTTTGTTTTCTTTATAATTGTGTGGGGGGGTTGTGCCTCAATTTTTCGGCTATAAAATGGAAATAACACTATCAACTAATCTAATGGAGTGGTTGTGAAGCTAAATTTTTTGCTTTTATGAATCAAGAAGCAAACTTTTAAGAAAATCTATGACAAAACTTGTATTTCTAAATGTTTTTAAGTGTAAAGTTTGGACTGTATAGTGAATAGGTCTATGACTGAATGAAGAAAATTGAGAAAAAAAAAACAGTATCACACATAAAATATGTTATTAAAATTCCCATTCTTTTAACCCTTTTAATTAGAAAATTGCATTAATAATATTCAATTCAAATAATTCAAAAGCAAACATTCATTGTACAGAGCCATTGTTTCTTCCACCCTGAAGCAAAGGTCTGGCTTTTTCATCCATGTCACTGTTTTTTGCCGTGTGTCATTCTGTGAAAAAAGTAGCTCCAAGCAAATGGCCATAATATGTGGGTCTTTGGACATTACATGCCCAGGTGTTTAACAGCCAGTAACTGGAAGATAAGGGAATATAAAGTCCAGATCTTCTTAGTCCAAGACAAAGCTGTTGTCCAGATGAATCACTGTTTTTACACAGTGTAGAATAGAGCAGTGCATATTGAAATGGTACCTCAGGTTTTTAACGCAGGGTAGTGTTTTCTCTGGGCTCCCTCCCTCGCTGTTTTCCCGCTGGTTCACAAGCTGGCTTAGCTATCTTTCCACAGAACTGCCAGGCGCCACGTGCACACGCTGTCAGTAACTCAGGGTGTCTGGGTTAAGTTCCTTCTTCTGGAATGCAATTGGAACTGTGGCATCTAAAAAGCAGCCTGCTGGCCTTATAGCGTGGTTCAGAGTAGCAGGTTTGGTTGGCAACACTCCTTGCAAAGTTGCATAAGGAAAGTTATAACCTATTTATTTGTTATTATTCTGGTAGAGGACTACATTAAAAGATACATAAATGCAGATTTAAAAGAACGAGTGAGGAACAAAGAGCTTCTGTCTCCCAGCTGAGTGCTTTAACCGTTAGGGTGTAACACCATACCTTCTCCACGCGTTTCTTTTACCCATACCGTGAACAGTGTTCCTGGCTGCAAAGAGCCTGTCCTGCACAGGAGGGGGATGAGGTGCTTTAGCTCTGCCACCCTGAACTTGGTGGTTAGGGCAGTTCTGTAGGACGTGTGATAGGTGGATAGCAATCGGCTAGCTAAAGATATACCTACAGAGGGAGCTAAACTAAAGTTGTTTGCTCTTTGATGAGTAGGCTACTGTGTCAAGGAGACACACTCTCTTTCCTCTCTTTTTTCTTTAAGTCATGGTGGCTGCTTAATTCCTTGCTGTACATTGTCAGTACAAGACCTGTCAAACCACACGCCTCTGTGGATACAGGCAGAATTCAGCTGTCTGTCTGTGTTAGTCCTTGATTGCAAAGGAATTTAAACAGAAATTGGGTACCTAGCTTCCCAGGAGGCATATCCCCTTGTACTTGCAGAAACTTCCATAACTTTTAGGCTCGTCAGGGAGTCAGGTTGTAGGCAGAATTTTTCAGCCCTTATCTCTGTGCCAGAGGTATGTGACTTTGAGCTCCTTCTTCTGGACTTACTCTCCACTTACATTTGTCTGTGTTATACTGTTTCCTTCATCTCAGACTTCTTGCACTTGCTACTTAAAATCAGTAGTTTTTCCTGAGCTTTAAAGTAGAACTAAGAGCTCCTGAAAACGTGAGCCTTGTAATGTGGAGAATGAGGCAACATTTGCTCTAAATGGCACATGCGATCAAGTGTGTACAGACCAAATTAGACCTCTGGGAGAAGATCTGCAGACAGAACTTTTTAGCAGTGTGTTAATGGTAATTAAATCAATCTGCCTGACAGATACCATAAGAAAAAAAGGGAAATTAGTTAACAATTTGGAGAAGATTATTACTTTTTGTTTGGGTTTTTTTTTTTTTTTGGTAACTAAATGGAAAAAGACTTGCACTTATTTTTCACAGTTTACCAAAAATTTTGCAGAAACTGAATGTTTTCTCCAGTAGATTACAGCTGGACCCAGACAAAATCATGCTATTTGTACAATAGCCTATCATATCTGTTTCTTCTCAGAATCCTGTGATCAGGCGTAGATGTGAGCCATTGCAGAGCAAATGGGGAAATACATTTTTGAATTAAGCATACCTAGAAATGAGTAAGTTTTCAGTCCCTTTTTTTTAATGAAACTGGTTGCACAGGAACAGGCATGGTCTCCCAGGCAAAGAAACAAATATTTTAGATTTCACAACTTAAAGCTAATAGCTTATGCTCCACTCTGTCCACTCCTGTTCTCCCAGGACCTTAATTTAGTATGTATTCCACTGTGGTTCATTGCTGCTACCTATTTGCCTGGTAGCCTGTCCGTTGAGACATTCCCTTTGTTTATAAAGCATTAGCTACACTACTAGCTTAGACCCTAATTTAAAGTTATTGCTGGAAAGGTTGTAAAAAAATCTTAAGCCCTGCTATTATTGTTCAGGCTCAAATATTCCGTGTTCACAGAAGCAGTCTGCTTAAATATTTTTTTCAAATTTGTCTAGTCCCCTCGAGGTGCAAGCAGCCTAGCCCTCTTGAAATTTAAATATTCTGTTGCGAGTGTCCGTTAAAATAAATGTAGATTTTCATATTGGAACATTTCATTTTGTAAATATTATGTCAAGCTTTTGTTAAGATTCACTTCTTTTAAAATAGATTTGTCATTTCAATGGAAGTACTTATTATTTTGTATTTCTCATCTTTGAGCAGAGTTTTTATAATCAGTAAATGACCAAAGTCTACCTCTAGAGTACAGGGTCATGGTCAAGAGACTAATACAGCTCAAAGACAAAATCACTTCACCTCTTTAATAAAGATTTTTACATTTTCATTGGGGATACGAGTTCGTAAAGTATAATTGCTCTGCCACTTTTGCATATTGTAACAGTGCACTTCTTAAAGGTACCTTGTGAAGGACTGTTTTTATCTCAGGTTCTCTTCTGTGCGCTGGATATACTACAGTATTTTGGACATGAGTGGAATATCAATGTCAGAATTACATCGTATCAATCTCTCCCATGTTCAGTTTTGTGCACCTCAATACAAGAAGGACATTGAGGTGCTGGAGAAAGCGCAGAGAAGGGCAACAAGGATGATGAAAGGCCTAGAGAATAACTCTTATGAAGAGCGGCTGAGGGAGCTGGGGCTATTTAGTCAAGAAAAGGAGGCTGAGGGGAGACCTTATTGCTCTCTAAACTACACGAGAGGACGTTATAGAGGGGTAGGTGCTGGTCTTTTCTCACAGGTAATCAATGATAGAATGAGAGGAAATGGACTCAAGCTGCACCATGGTAGGTTTAGGCTTGACATTAGGAAAAATTTTTTCACTGGAAGGTTTGTCAGACACTGGAATAGGCTGCCCAGGGAGGTGGTTGAGTCACCATCCCTTAGTGCATTTAAAGGTCGTTTAGACGTGGTGCTTGGAGATATGGTTCAGGGGTGTGCTTGGTAGAGTAGGGTTGATGATTGGACTTCATGATCTCAAAGGTCTTTTCCAACCTGATGGTTATCCTTAGGAATGATCCACCCCAAAAAAAATGGTTCATCTGAGCCTTTGTTTCCTGTGTACGTTAGCAATAGGAGTCAAAAGGGAGAGGGAATTTGTAGTTTCTGCTTTTACTGTCAGTGCAATTTACCCTATACATTGCAAAATACAAGAATTTGATTTATTAAAAGTGATTTTCTTATTTTGTTGCATTTTAGTAATGTAAAAAGACAGGACTACTTTATTCTTATGTCAGTTATAATGTTCCTTTTCTCTTCTAGGCAGTGGCTTAAATCTGAAGACATTCAAAGAATATCACTTCTTTTCTATAATAAGACTCTGGAAAAAGAAGTAAGTTATTTTCACTGCAAATTCATGGTTGATTCCTTCTTTGCCCCATCCTTAATGAGGCTTGTATTCCTTGCTTTTATAACACAGAGCCATGGCCACAGCACCTCTCCTGTAGGGAGAAGTGCTCAAACCTTACAGTAATATTTTAGCTCATTTAAAGAAGAAATTTTATGAATGTAATGTCTGAGACTGTAGGGCTCGGCAGTTGACTTGAATTTCTTGAAATTTTCATAGTTCACAGAAGTGGGAGGAGGTTTGATAGTCCAAATTTGGTGTAACTGGAGCAAAAAATTCCTAAGTTCCATCTCCTACGTGCTCAAAAGGCATTTATCAAACTCCATGGGTTTAAATTTTTTTCTTTTGCCATGTCTCAAAGATTCCACCTGTAGTAATGATAGTCTTGTAAAGCTATCAGTTGCTTGTTGGTTTTCTCCAAATGCACTTGATGCTCACAGTCATTCTGGGGAAACGATGCTATAAATGTTTTTTAAGAAAAATGCATAGCTGACTTGGATGTAACACACTAAATGTTCTTCTTACTAATATGTCTGATAAAATAGGTTTTGAGACATGTACGTACAGATGGAGTAAATGATAATGTTTCTAGTCCTTGGAGTAATGATCAGAATGAAAGATTCCTTCCTTTCAGGTGACTGTCATGACCACTAGCCTAAAAAGTCAGGCCTTGTCTTTGTTTTATGGCCTTGTAGAGCTTGTG